TCCAGCCAAAAGACCAACATCAACTGAATAACAATTTAATTAAATTAGTGTGAGAGAGCTAATCTAAAAAATCAATAATACATTGAGGTAAATTGGTTATACCTGGAAACATGTCTGACAACATTTTTGAGCCTCTTTCTGAATATTTGTTGAAGTGAAACACATGTCTTCGGCTTTATCACATTACACTCTATTCACCTCCATCCATGTGACTTCTGGGCAAAGAAAACAAACTCAAAGCTGCTGGGAAAGTGAAGCAGTTTAACAAAGATGGAAATTATTCTCATTCTTTTTGGTCGTGTTCTTAAAAGTTATGTTTAGGTTGCAATCCAGTAGGAATAGAAGGCGTAAACAGGGAACGAGTGTATGATATGACCCGGTCTTACGATTTACTAATAGTCAAGATTTAAGTTTTTTTTTTTTTTTTGTCTAAGAAAATACATAATCTTTTATCAGTGTTGTTAATTTTACTATTTATCATTATTTTAGCAAAAAAGTTTGCTTCATATATCCAGTTCAACATGTTTGGTTAAAGAGGGTCATCTTTATCATTCAAATGAACAGTGCACATGCATGCATTTTATACACTTGTATAAGGTTATGTCTATGAAATAAATGCACATCTCTGAATGACCATCTTGTTTTGACGTACTCGAATCAAGCCATTTTAAGGGGTCAAGCTACTCCTTAGTTATTTAGAAAGAAGCCATTTATTACCTATGCTTTCATACGTCAAATTCCTGCACCACAACCCTGAGGAGAAAATGTCACAGATTGCTTTAGTGAGTAATTTACAGTAGTTGAGGATGAAACTGTGTGTGTGTGTGTGTGTGTGTGCACTCAAACAGGTTGGGCAGACACATATATTATGCAGGTGTTAGTCATGTGAGATCAGTCGATTGGCTGGAAACGCCTGCTTAGAAGCCCTTAAATACAAGCTGCAATCAGATCGACAACAGGTTTAGGATTTGAGGACCTTACCAAATCAGGTCAGCTCTTGGTCAAACTGATCACTCAAACCTGCTAGAGAAGCAATGGGTTCTAAGAACAGCAAAGGAGTATGCAAGAACTGCAAGAGCAGCTACAATTATAAACAAAAAAAGCGTAATCGTCAAAATCGCACACTTGTCAATGCTTATAAAATGAGTACAGAAATGGGTGGTTTTCAACCCGGTGATATTAACTTAACTTATGAATGCTGTGATGGTTCTGGAACCGTTGATCCTATGGGAGGAGTCTGCTATGTAGATTATGGATATGGTCTGGGAGGCTGTGTAGATGTAACTGGTCTGGGAGGCTATAATTATTTGGGAGGCATGGATTTTACTGGAGGCCTAAATGGTTTAGGAGGCTGTGGAGACTTTACTGTTCTGGGAGGCTGTACAGACTTCAGCGGTCTGGGTGGCTTTGATTTCTCTGGAGGCTGCAATGATTTTGGAGGCTTCGGTGATATGGGAGGCTTTGACTTTGGTTTTTAACAAAATGTATCAAACAAGCTTAGCTTTGATTTAAAATGATCTACTGACACTTGCTACTCATGCCATTTAGTACATTTATTTATTTGAAAATATCTTGAATTAAGTTAATTTTTCACAGCCCATTGAAATAAACATCATTGCATGTCATTACATTGATTTCAATAAGAAAACAATTTTCTGATGAAGAAAAATATATAATAAAAATAAAATAGTTTGTAAGTAAATTTTTAAGACAGGTAATGTAAGAATGTTAAAATATTTATACTTGAGAACAAGGCAAAACAGTATTTTTCAGTGCATTTGGAGGCATTTAATTGTAAACGGAATATTTTTTGTCTCAAGTGCATAAATGGATTTGGAGACGCCGCAGCGCTCCGGACAGCTTTCCGATCCAGTGAAAAACATCATTCAACACAAAGCCAACAGCACTGCAATCAACAATAATCATCAGGACATCTTTAGTGCCATTATGGATATTAAACATCATCAAGACAATGTTATCTGTGCAATCAAATACAGTTCCAGCCAAAAGACCAACGTCAACGGAATAATTTAATTAAATGAGGAAATACTTTAACCGGTGTCTGATTTTAAATATAGATTGAGTGTGAAAGAACTAATCTAAATAATAATAATAATAATACATTGAGGTAAGCTGGTTGTTGTTGTTGTTATTTTTTAAAAGTTTTGTAAGGTAAGCGTTTCTCAAAAATGAAGACCTGAAAACACGTCTGACAACATTTGTGAGCCTCTTTCTGAAGGTTTGATGATGTGCCATGAGACAAATGTCTAGTGCTTTGCCTTTGACTCAGATTCTCACTTTGTTAAGAGGTTTTGAAGTCACTGTGTTGAAAACTGATGACAGATTGTAAAGATTCAGTCACGTTAGACTTTGCACTCTATTCACCTCCATCCATGTGACTTCTGGGCAAAGAAAACAAACTCAAAGCTGCCGGGAAAGTGAAGTGGTTTAAGAAAAATGGAAATTCTTCTCATTCTTTTTTAAATTGTGTTCTTACAAGTTATGTTTATGTTGCAGTACATATTGTTGAAATATACCGTGCATGTTATAAAAGCCAAAGAAGGGAGTAAACAGGGAACGAGTGTATGATATTACCACTATGTCTTCTGATTTTGATTTGTGGGGTGATTAAAAATGTGAAATTTGATGTGCTTACTATATGCTTAGTAGAGATATACGAGTTAAAACAATCATAAAGAAGTTAACATGTAACCTTGTTATTTTTATTCATTTCTTGACATAATTGTTTGGTTTTTAACTTTGGTAGTTGACTCCTGCTAATAAAACATTCATGAAGTGATTAGTGGCGTCTTGGATGGGATGCCATCTCCAATTTAAGTCAGATAGTTCTTTCTATGACCTTGTTATTACTGTCAAAGCAGTAACTAAATCAGCATACTATCATCTCAAAAACATTGCAAGAATTAGATGTTTTGTTTCCATTCAAGACTTGGAGAAACTTGTTCATGCCTTTATCACCAGCAGGGTGGACTATTGTAATGGTCTCCTCACCGGCCTTCCCAAGAAGACCATTAGACAGCTGCAGCTCATCCAGAACGCTGCTACCAG